GCAGTATGAACAAGAGTTCCACGATCTCATACCTTCGCCAAATGATGTTAACCCTTGCGGGTGACGAATTATACAATTTTAATCATTGATTTTGTAAATAAGAGCCTCATTTGCATGGATTATATCAGTTGATCATATTCTCCATCCAATGGCAGCCTTATCACAACAAAAAGGCTATTATAGCACTTCCTCATAAATTATGCAAATGAGGTCATGATTTGAATAAATTATGTTTATTGATATTCACCTTCACTTAACTTCCAAATGTGGCAAGTATGAAATTCGGGGTGCAGAAGTTACAACTATGGAATTATAAGAATTTGCCATTAGTTATGCAAATTAGGTCCTCATTTACATAATCTATATCCTCAGATGTTTTCCCCGTTCTCAAGTAGATGTCACAAGTGTTTCATAGTTCTATTATCGAACAAAGCAGATTTATAGAATTTCCTCATTAATTATGCAAATTAGCTCCTGATTTGCATAATTGCCATCTGATTATGTCAAGCATCACTTCAACTACCTACATACCAAAAATCACGACAATACGTCAACCGGTTCTTAAGTTATAGTCCTTCAAATTTTTTCAACAAATGCTCCTGCAGTTCCAGAACAAGGCGCTAGGGGACCCAAACTCATGTCACTTCTTTCCTACTCCAAGAGCTATCTACCAACCAAAATTCGTGACCCTAGCATGTCCAGAACATGAGATATCAAAACCGGAAGTTCAGCTGCAGTACCTAGGAAAGCCGCCAGGGGGCCCAAAATCTAATCATTTCTAGGCCTCATTAAGACCTACCCACCTACCAAGTTTCATTCCAATCCATCTACTGCTTCTCGAGTTATCTTGCTAAACCACACACACACAAACACACACACAGACAAACGCTACTGAAAACATAACCTTCTTGGCGAAGGTAACAACTTGGCAGGGATTGGGGAATACAGACTGTCCTCATCCTTTCTTCTGCGAACTGTAATTACCTTCGCCAAGAAGGTTATGTTTTCAGAGACGTTCGTGTGTGTGTGTGTGTGTGTGTGTGTGTGTGTGTGTGTGTGTGTGTGTGTGTGTGTGTGTGTGTATCTGTGTGTGTGTGTGTGTGTGTGTGTGTGTTTGTGTGTGTGTGTGTGTCTGCGATAACTTCAGAAGGCATATTAAAGTGGATAGTCTTCATATAGGTGGGTAGGTCTTGATGAGACCTTGAAATGATTAGATTTTAGGCCCCCTAGCGGCCTGTTATGGTACTGCAGCTGAACTTCCGGTTTGTATATATCATGATCTAGACATGCTAGGCTCGTGAAATTTGGATGGCAGGTAGCTCTTGTGCTGGGGAAGAAGTGATGTGAGTTTAGGCTCGCTAGCGGCTTGCTCTGGAACTGCAGTGGTGTTTGTTTAAAGAATATTCAAAAGAGGATAAGTCAAGAAGTGGATGACGGATCGTCGTGAATTTTGGTATGTAGGTAGCCATGATGGTCGGAGTTTTGTTTAGTTGTTACCTTGGAAGACAAAGCTTCCAAATGAGACAGAATTGAACACATAAGTCCACGGGATCAACAACTAAGTCAACTTGAATTGGAATCTTCCAACGACTCGCAGCTTTCAAGAAATTGGAGCTCCGTCGACGTCACTGACTGACACCAAGGTTAACCTTCTCCCTGCTAACTGAGCCTTTAAGACCTAGGGAAATTTTTTTTCCTGTTTCAGTCCTGATTAGGGTCGCCAGGTAGAAATTATTTGTTTATTTGTTTATTAAAATTTTCCAGCACATGCATGGAGGGGGAGGGAGAACAGGTGGGTCACCTTTACCAGCTCCCTCCCCTAATTACATCAATAAAAACAGTATAAAACAGCATTGGATTTAAACACATTATGAAAGCAATTCATAAACATACATACAAAAATATGGACATTAATAAATCAAATATCATTCTACGTAAATGTCAGCGAGGTCTTAACGCTATGCATGTTCCACACCTGCAAGCCGCAGACCATGTACATATGTTGTCTGTGTCAAAGTTGTCCTGGAACTTGCCGATTACCGACTGGACAAGACACCATTTGAATTGCAAAATGTCAGACTGACTTGACGCTGCAACCCCCAAGACCCTAATTACCTTTAGTGATCCAACTTATACAAGTTTAACAGCGTACAACTTGCATGAGGGCAATTATATTTTGAATTTCAATGTTGGAAATCTGATTGTACAACGTTTCTTTACTCAGGTGTCCGATCGTGGAGCTAGAAAAGGGCGACTAGCTTGCAAAATTTATGTCCCTTGCAGGGGTCCACCCAAAAAAAATGCTAGGGTCGGCAGTTCAAATTTTCTAGGGTCGGTCGGGAAACAGGAAACACAGCATTTTTCCTAGGCCCAACTAAGGCCACACCGTCTTAATTTTATGGATGACATCCGCACGCGCATTGATTTTCGCCTGTTCTCAAAAAAAAAAAAAAAGAAAAAAAAAAGATCACGTCCTTTGAGGCTCTGTCCTGGCTCCAGGCCTGCCTGGGAAGTCCATGGTAGTTAGTAACACTACGGAGCCGGTAGAAACTCTGGAGGATGGCACCCAGGCTACCGAAGCTCCACGACTCAAGAACTTAGTACATATACTTACAGAGTAGATTCGTAAATTCCGTCAGCATGTGGCGGCGTGTCGCATACTTCGCTTTGTACTGCCGCAAATTCACAATACCAGCTTTGTATTCCTGTGGTTTACTACTAAGTAGCATTTTTATTTTTCGCCGGAATTTTTTTTTTATTCGCCCGCGCGCACTAGTTTTGGGGTCTTCAGAGGATGTCATCCATAAAATTAAGACGGTGTGGCCTAATGCAGATGTTAACTTGTGCCAAATGTTGTGCCAAATGGCTACCTCAGCGCACTGAAGGTTAAATCCTCACCTCCCCATCTGGACAGTGTCGGAAAAGATTTTTGGAATTCCACTTAAGTCATGGCAGCATTCTTCAACACATGTTATAAGACTTTGTACAGAAGGGAGTTGACGCAACGGGCCGGCTGATTACAGTGCAAGATGACAGTTGTGATGACATCAGCGTTTCTACAGCGCTCTGTGCACTGGCATATATATATGAATGAATGAAATTTATATTATGAATGAACTTTATTGCTCAACACTCGTACAAGGTACAATGTATGGCAGTAATACAACAATACTACAAAACTTTACTTACTGCAAACTACTATCTAAACAGTATTTGAGTTACTATATGGTCATGTATTCATGATATGTTCTCGCTTATGGAATAAAGTGTACAGAAATTGGCCTACGTAAGCAGATATGGTAGTTGGACATGATAATAATTCATGGAATGTATCGTACTGTGTACCAGATTGGGTGAACTTTGTCTTAGTGGTAATAGTCTGTAAGAATGTATCTCTTTCTTTTCTATGATATAGGTGGGACAAGTCATAACAAAGTGAAATTCATCTTCAATATTTTCATTACAGTCTCTGAGTGGCTGGTGTGTTGTGGTGTCGACCTTTTTCGATTTGAAGACAATGCATGTACCTTGTAGTGTAAAGGCTGTGGAAGACGAAATACACTTTATCTCAAACTGTTCGTCACTGAAGGTACGTCATTTTCTCTAATTCCAACAAAAATGCAATTGAGGCATGCGCTTTATACTAGAGAAATAATTCAAAACAATAGTTGACCAGTTTGTCGATAGAACTTGTTGGACATATTACATCGAGGAAGGGGGAGGAGGGTGGTCTTACGTCATATCCGTGACTTTTACTATGCATTATGGGAAGTGTGAAATTGGCGAATAGGTGTTTCTGGTTTAACAAGATTTATGATGTCAAAATTTGAAAATGTGGAAATCTTGTTTTTTGGGCCCACCTTGATTTTTTTAAATTCGCCCTATCGCATCAGATTTGTAGTTTGCGGAGGATGTCATCCATAAGATTCCCTTGCTGTGGCCTTGGTTAGGGTGGTTAGAACTGTGTGGTACACAAATAAAAGAGACGCCTCGCGTAGCTTGCTTCTGGTTTGTTTTAAAGGCATCCAGTGCAGTTTTTAGGGCTTGGAAACCCGATTTTTCAAAGTCAATATTCTAGTCACTTATCTACATACTCAGTTGAAACAACACTGTCCCAATGCATATTGACCCTCATGGAGCAAAAATTTCCAAAATTCTGACAGAAAAAATGGTTACTGGAAGGACCCTTGCCTGATTTTAGGGCACCACCCATGAAATAAAGGACTCATCTTGGGGCTTGTTTCTGCAGTTTTAAATACCCAAAGTATGAAATACTGATCGATTGAAATGTGCTAATGTGAAGCAGTATGTGTCAATATCCTAAAAATTTCCTTATTCAGAATATTTCCAGTTTTGCTGCTCTGAAATCGCATTGGATGCCTTTAAAGTATGAAGTAACGCCGAAAATGCTAAGAAATGGCAGTAAATGTCAACATCAGGCAGACTTCCTAGTCCAGAATATTTTTGTTTTGTTTTTCCGCCCTGACATTGCATTGGGCGACTTTTGAACTCACACTGCGCGGTCCAAAGGAGGCCAAAGGAACGACCCGCCATAATCTCCAAGCAGATGTTTCGTTGGTACAAAATCAAATTGGCCAGGCAGTATAATACCCATTTGCCAAGGTAGTTCCCATTTTGCCATTCAAATTTAAAGGGTCGGCGTAAAAAAAAGATACCAGGACAAAAAATAAAACCCGATGAAACGCCTACAAACACGCCAAAAATAATAGCCTCCTTTTCTCACGGTCAGGCTTCGGGAGACGGCTAAAAAGAATAGCGTCAAATAGAGAGATAACATGCCGAGGGAGTTGGTCCGCTAGAGTCTACATTTTGCCGTACCCGTATCTCTCTATTCCACCGATTTCTACTCTTTCTAGACGTCTCCCAAAGGTTGGATAGAGGTTATAAAAAGTATAAACCTTTTCCATCAAGAAGTCTGGGAGCGTGGCTAACAGAGCACCGTCACGTGACATTACAAATCATCTGTGAGTCATGTGATCACATGTCATTTTGCAAGATGGCGGCGCCCAGTGTAGATTTGACGTTATTCATCCCCTTTTCCTAGTTTCTAAGCTCATAACTGGTACTTTAACATTTATGTTGTAGACGTGCGTGGACGCCATGGCTTCTGTAAAAGTAGCTGTGCGAGTGAGACCCCTCAATCAGAGGTGAGGCTATATTTTACCATAATAAAATGTCAATTCGTTTGTTGATTTTTGACCCGGCTCTTTGAACGTTATTTTTTTTCTAGCCCAGGGCTATACTTTTTTCTGCTGAACTTTCATAAAAAAAGTAACGTGTTTTTCTTTCAAACACAGGGAGATCGACTTAAAGAGTGGGAGTATTATCGAGATGGAAGCCAAGAGAACGACCATCACAAACGTTAAGGTTTGTTTTTGTTTATTTTTTATGTGCAAATAGGATACGTGACTTACCACCTACCACACGCCGTCTGTTTAATATGTTTTCACATCAATTATTTTTACAGTAGGGACTGTTGTGTTACAGCCCTACTCTACTCTCTTTATTGTTGTAGTGATAGAGTTGTGTACTAAAGAAGTACAGCTGCCATATGATGATACGAAGCATGCTGTACCACATACGGAAGTGGTGTGATGGGGGTTAGATTCCATGACTCATGTCCCTAACCATCCCCTGGGACTTTCTACAGCACAGGTACACATGGAATAATTATTCAGGGCTCGAAATTCATTTTTGGGAATAGGTGCACTGGTGCACCCAACCTAAAAATTTAGGTGCACAGAAAATGTTTTGGGTGCACCATATAAAAAAAAACAACCTAATTACAGATCTTACTGCTCCTCCTCTGAGCTTGAATCTGAAATGGGAGCTAACTTAAAATCTTAAACAAGTACTACAACAAAGGTTTTATGATTTTTGTGACACTTAGACGCAAAGAATATCCTGTATACTATTATACATTTGATATGTACAAAAATACGTACAAAAACCGGTGCACCCACAGAAAAAATTGGCTGCACTAAGGTGCACATGCACCCATGCAGTATTTCAAGCCCTGGTTATTGAAAGTTTATTGCAAATACATGCCAAGAACTAACTGCAGGTACAAACAACATGTATGAAAAAAGGAAATACAATGGCATGAGAGACTACGTCTAACATTATACTACGTCCTACAACATACATGGTACTAGTTTTGCTGGGTTTGACTTCTTCTTTTGAGGCAGTGGAAGATGAAATTACCCTCTTCTTCTATAATTATCATGATTAGCAACACAAAGGGGTTACTTCTTTGAGAGCAAAGGTGCGAGAAGACAACAACACAGCTCTAATGACGGTGAATTTTGAGCTCCCAAATTACAATGATTTGCAAGAGATTGGGTCAGGTTTTTTTTTGGTTGTTAATAATAATATATCTCCTGTCAAAATTAGCAGGACAAGGAAAATTTATTGAGCCCATAAACAACAGGAATGAAAGAAAGAATCAAAGGAGAGTAAAAAGTTAATTAAAGGAAATGCAAACTTGTACTAGTATTCAGTCTGGTTTTGACGACCTATTGTTTCTTATCTTCTATATCTTTTACTTTAAGGATTTGTCAACTATTGTGTGACTGTGTATGGACATTTGTATAACGTATGGATATTTAAAGGTCTGTTCCAGAAAAAAAATTAGATATCAGTGGCCCTAAATATCACAGACACAACTGTCACTTGGTTATTAACTTTTATCAAGGAGATTTAAGTGTAGAACAACTACTGCCTTGGTTCTCTGTCTAAATCTTTGAGACATACTTTTTTTTTTACTACTTGACTTACCCTGGTTCCAAAAAACTTTGACAAAGAAACATTTGCAGGGCTCGAGATCCTTTTTCTGCATTTTTTTTCCAAGGCCACACCAATTTTATTTCTTGGTTAACGGATTTTTCTAGAAAAATAATGGAGCGAGCGGGCGAAAAAAAAAACAGGTCTAGGCATCCTATTATGGCCCAAAATGGTATGATAGGAGCCATGAAGTCAACACACCAGGCTGGTTCAAAATTTAAACAATGGATTTTGAACTTTTAATGATACCATTGCATTGAAAGATGGAATAACTGTAACAACTAGGATGAAAAGGACTGTTTTCAACTGTTCAGGGCAAAATATGAGCATTTTGCAGTTGATTCTGAATTATTATTTTTATTTGCAAATGAGAAAAAAATGAAGCGGGCGAATCTGTTAACCAAGAAATTAAATTGGTGTGGCCTAATCCAATTTTAACGTCATTTCCCCCTGAAATGGGGGTTAGACGTGCTTGCATCAAGTGCAAGTCTTTTTTTTTTGGAGCAAGATTTTTACGGCTGGATGCTAACATTGTAACAGGTAACATTGAAAATTACTTGCACGCTAAAAACTGTTCAGAAACCATTGTCAATTTTTTGCACCGAAGGTTACACAGGTACCGAAACATAAAAAATGTAATGAAAAAATCTGATGTTTATATATACATTATTGTGATGTTTGACTTCTTTCACATGAAAGCTCATAGAGATTGTGCCAATGTGGTACTAGTAACTGTATACATTTCTTTCATCCTCATAATGAGGTCATTTACATATGCATTTTCCACTGTTGCCATAATCCATTGTACAATTCTTGCACACTGTGTCCTGAACAATGAAACTTTATTTGCAAAATCATGCCCGAAGGCTAATTGCTTTTACAATCAAGTATAATACTCATTGCAATACAGTAACAGGAGACAGGTAACAATCTGTCTGGAAAAACTTCTATTTCTACTACTTAGCTATTATGGGGTTCGACTTCTTCTTTGAAGGCAGTGGATAATGAAGTCCCACATTCTGCATAATTAGTGGGTTTTGTGATCTTAGTAGAAATGCAGTCTTTTGGTGATCTTCTAAATGACGAAATGATGGAGAGATTGTTGTAACTGTCTGAAATAATCTGTTTCTTTCGGTCTCATAGTGAGGACACTGGCTAACAAAATGTATTTCATTTTCCACTGCATTCATTGTACAATATTTACATAATCTCTCGTGCACAGGTAACAATAACATCACCGTGTTTGCCTGTAGTCATAATGTTTACATATGAATAGGAGGCACACTTGACACAAGACTGGTAAAAGCTGTATCTAATTCTAATGCCTGTGCCATTGTCCCAATGAATTAATGATAGAGGTCTGAGAGCTTGATCAATATTTGAATGGTCTGGTGCTAATCCCTAGTTTGCTCAGGACTCTGGTTAAAACAGATAATCAGATCAGTGGAAGACATGGCTGTCTTAACAAAGTGTTCTATAGGTAATTGTAGGAATGTAGGTTATAGTATTCTTCATAAATTGTATTAATAAAGCCATTTAGTAATTTCAGGGCAGAAAAACTGAATTTTCTAAGACAATTCCCTGGTTAATTTTTCTTAATCGAATGAATAAAAGACCTTTTTTGTATGTTTATACTCTAACAATCTAAGTACAGGTCATGAATACACAGGGAAAAAGAATACAGCAATAACTTACTTAAACTATACATAGAGTTCTACTAACTTGATTTCATTAATGTGGTAAGTTGAATGACTAGTAAACCCTGTCCCATAGCATACTGATATCTTTTTTTTTATATACAGTCAAACCTGTACTAGCGGTCACCTTTGTATAGTGGTCACTCGGCCATAGCGGTCAGTTTTTGCCGGTCCCTTGAATTTTTCCCATTGACGTAAGCATTAAGAATCGTGTCTATAGCGGTCACTGTTCAACGCGGTCAGCGGTCACCCCATTCCGGTCCCGCCGGCATGTCAACACCGCCGATAGCGGTCGCGGCTGGCCGTAACCCGCTAAGCACCACGGCCGTAACACCACCCCACCTCGGGCTACGACCGTTATGAGCCTTGTGATAATTTTCCGATCGCTACATTACTAAAATGTGAACTGAAAATTAGACTCCATATGTGTATGAAATAAAGGAAAACTGACTTTTGACACGAAGTTTCTGCGGTCGCGGGTGTCTTTGATATCTGCGTTTTCCCCAACACCAGTGCCGTGCGTGCCGCATGGCGAAGATTACGGCAAATTATCTTTACAAAAAAACTTAAGAATATCCATATTTGGTTTCTCGATTCCTTGAAATGCGTAGATATGTGCATAGCTTCCGTTTTTCATGGGCATAATTAAAGAAATTTGGCTCGAAAATGCGTTTCGTATTTTTCCAAGATGGCGCATGTTAGCTGCAGAGGGAGGTCAATTGGGGTCATCGGAAGACTCCACTGTTATGGAGGTAGATACACCGAGTTTTATTTAACTTCATTAGCGTCAAATGACGTAATTACATTATGAAAACATTTGAAATACATTACTACAATTAATTTTAGATGTAAATTTAACACTGTAGTGGATATTTTAGAAAAGATATAAGTCTGAAAGGAGAAAATTTTCTGTTGACTACCACATTGGCATAATGGTAGAGGCAGACAACCCACGCGGGGAGAAACCCAAGCCGTAAACAAAGGAGAGTTTTCGCTAAGTTTTCATGTTCAAAAACGACCAAAAACGGAAAGTAACTGGCAACTGACGAACAATTATTTTGCTGTTAACTAAACAGACAGCATCTTGGTACAAATTAACTTATTTTCGTGGTTGGAATTCGCTGTGGCGTATGTCGGTCGCGCGAAGCAAGTGTTCACCAAAGAACAAAAACATGGCGATGTCGTTCTCTTCCACTTTTCGACTAACAACAACAACTACTAGTAATGTGGCGATTGCGGAGAAACGATGGCGAAAGTGGAAAGACGGACGCCAAACTTATTCCAAAAGGTGGAAGTGATTCGACTGGCAGAGAGAGTGAGAAGAAACCGTGGAAAGCTGAGCTTAGATTAAATGATTTTGCAGTCGATAGAAATTTGTTTGGAGTTGAAAGTTTGTTGCTTGATTTGCCTTCTTTTCTTTAGCCACATGTAGTACTAGTATGTACACAAGAACAGTAAAGGACAACCAGTGATTTTGTATGTTTTAAATTATGTGAATGGTTTCATTGTCCCAGAATAGATTAACTGAATATGTTGAGTGTATGTATCTTTGATGTCAAGTTAATGTTTCCATGCAATATTTCTGTATTTCTTTTTTTTTTTCAAGCAAGTACAAAATAAAGTACAACTAAAGCAAAAGAACAACAAATTATTGAACTAACACATGCACATATAAAAGGGGTTTACCTTTGCAAATGTATGTATTCATATGTTTCAGAATAAAGACATCACTGTTGGTACTCAAAGCATGTGTCCCTTTTTTTTTTGGGGGGGGGGGTCAACTAACCAGCTGTTTCTCTATAGTGGTCACCTGGCCATAGTGGTCAAATTTGGCCAGTCCCTTGAGTGACCACTATAGGCAGGTTTGACTGTATATATAAAGTGTGA